CACTCACCTCAGCCTCCCAAAGCGCGGGATTACAGGCTGAGCCACCGAGCCCGGCCACAAACATTTTAAAATTATACCTTTGAGGTGAGAGAAATGTCTGCGCCCGAGGGTTCGAGACCAGCCTGGGCAACACGGTGAGACCTTGTCTCTACAATAAACCAAAAAATTAGCCGGGCATGGTCGTGCACACCTGTAGTTCCAGCTGCTTTGAAGGTTGAGGTGAAGGATCGCTGGAGCCCAGCAGGTTAACAGTGGAGTGTTTGTGAGCGTGCCACTACACTTTAGCCTGGGCAACGGAGTGAGACTCCAACTCAAAAAATAAAAAATAAAAAAAAAAACATACTAAACTATTCTGAAAACTGTTTTTAAAAAAGCCAAAGGTATCACAGTGGACACTACTCTATAAAAACTTGCTTCTTCTGCTTTTGTGCCAGCTTTGGAGTAAAATTTATCCCAACATCTCTGCATCTATAGATGATCTTTTTCTAAATGTGTCACTGATTAATATGGGTGCAGTTATATGCTGGTCTTCTAAAAATTCAGTTCTATGTATGTTCATTCATGTAAAATTCACAAATTTACAACTAAAACATAACAAATCAATATTCTACTTTCAAAGGCTGTTTGGTTAATGCTCTCCTCATAGTTAAGAGATATGTCATACGGCAAACCACATGATAGATCTCTGTTGCATGGAAAATAAATTGGGAGTGCTTTCTTATTTAAGTTATTGTATAGAATGTAGGTTTATTTCAGGTAATAATCACCTTTCCTCACTCAACTGTTAGACAATTCACACTTACGCTATCTTATAGCCTTCCTTTCTATTTTTTAATTTTCTACAAAATAGAGTATTATTTTATTTATTATTTTTAACTTATAAAAACTTACACTAAATTAGCAGTACTTTTCCTAGATAAATCACATCCAATTTTACCAAATTTGCTTTCTTGACTGTAAAATAAGCATAATAATGCCTTTTTCATTGGGATGGTACAAGAGTCAGTATAACCTAGTGGATTCAAATTCTGGCTCTGGTACATTCTAGCAGTATGACCTTGGACAAGTAATTTAGTTTCTCTATGCCTCAGTTTCCTCATATGTGAAAAAAGAACCTTTCCTTTTAAAGTCAGAATGTCCATCAGCTGACACAATGCTAGGTCAAGTGACTGAACTATGACTATCCCACACACCAGCCAATATTTCCATTTCCAAGGCACTGCCATCTCTATAGTTCAGTCTAATCAGTAGTTTTCAAAATATTTTGTTGCACTGTTTCTATTATGTAATATGAATGGAAAATAAAAATACAAAAGCCTACTAGTAATATTAATCCATTTGAACAATAGTGCACATCAGGTGGTCCAAAAGATGAAAACTTCAGACACCAGATTTACCCAGTTTAAGTATGAATAAAATGCTGAGGCAACAGCTCTAATCCTATCAAGAGCTAAAGAGCATGTGTGCTGACGATGGGTCTGCTGACTCTCCCCTCTGAATGCTCTTTTCTCCTCTGAAAATAGATTCGGGCACTTTAAGTGTTTCTCCTGCACCAGCTGACACCGTTTTCAGCTTTGTCAGTAGAGGGGGCAGGAGAGTCATCCCAGGAAGGAAGGGGCGTGTGTATGTTTTTTTGCAGGGGGAGGGAGTTGTTTTGCTTCCTGGTCTAGGCCAGCCTGCCCTGCAGACTCCTCGTCATCCACAGCTGCTCCAGCTCTAGTACCCTGTGCAGCCAGCCCCTCCAGCATCAGGCTCTCAGCACAAGCAGCTCTGATAATGCCCAGCCCCAATCCAGCAGTTTCCCTAAGAACAAACACTAGCCCTCTGGACAGCAAGCCTTTCAAACCCATGACTTGGACTGAATCCTTCTTCAGCTCAGAGAAACTTTCCTCTATTTTTTCCCTTCCTCTTCTA